GTTACAAACATTTGGGAAATGAACCAGGGGATGGAAGATCTCATTGTCTCTGTCTCTGTCGCTTTGCCTTTCAAGCAGATGAACTAAAATAAATAAACATTGCAAAAATAAAAAGAGAGCTGGCAGAGTTCATGTTCTGGCTTTTTTTGTAGCTGGTGTGAAAGGAGCTGTGCAAGGCAGCCGCCCACGTACAGTTCCTCCAGCCCTGGAACGTCGGGGACCCTGAAGCCCCCTCCCCCTGCTCACTGATGCCTGACCCGCCAGGAAGAGGGCCCTCTCCCGGCCGGCAGCTTGCCATCGGCGAGTGCATGGTGCAAGCAAGCCACTGACCTGGATCCTGCTCCATCCAGCACAAGCCCCAGGGTCCCAGGCAGGTCTGCGACCCTCTGTGCTCCCATCTCCTCACCCACAGTGTGGGGACCATGTCCTTCCCCACTCACTGGTTCAGAGCCAGGAGCCAGGGCCCCACTCCTGGTCTCCCGCATGGGTGGCAGAGACCCGATTACTTGAGCCGTCACCGCTCTGCATCGGCAGGGTCTGCATTGGCAGGAAGTTGGAGTCAGGAGCTGGCACCAGAGATGCGTCCCAGGTTCTCCCACGTGGGACGTGGGCATCTTAAGGGCTAGGCCCACCACCCTCCCCGATGCCCCATGGGGAGAGGCCCAAGCAGACTGGATTTTGATAGCAGGGGGCATTTCTGAACCTCAGACTCTGCCTGTGAGGTTGAGGGGCCGGGGTGGCCCCGGGCGTTGTCGTCACGTGTGCCCGCCGGCCCACTGTGCGGTGTGGGGGCCGCTGGGGAAAGGCGTGGATTCGATGAGGCCTCCAGTGTGCCCGGCCCGCACTTCTTCAGGCTCAGCCGCTGCTCTTTGATCTATCTCTTATGTGGTGTCTGCTGAAGTGTTGATTGGAACCTGGGACTCCAAAATCAGAATGAAAAGTTGTGAAAGAAATCAGCGAATGCGTTGTAGACTTAGCACGCGCTGGGCACACTGCTGAAAAGTCCCACATATATTGATTTACGCAATCTTCCTGCGACACACTGAGGCAGGCAGTATTACTAGTTCCATCTTAAAGGCAAGGAAATCGAGCAAAGATGTTTGACAATTTGTCCAAGGTCATGTGGCAAGGCGGGATTTGAACCCAGGCAGCCGCTCTTGGCTACTGGTTCATTTTGGGGTTTGTGTGTGTGTGTGTGTTGTTTTCCCGACTTGGCCCAGCCTCTCTGTCTCTTTGGCAACATTCCTCCCCCCACCCCCCACCCCTAATTCCTTACCTGCCCTTGACTCACACACCTGCAGGGATGAGGCGCTGTTGGCCTCGCGGGGGACCTGTGGCCGGTACAACGGTTTGGAAACTCTGCCCCCCAAGTTTGTGGACTCCTTAAACATATCCTCAAAGCTCAAAATGGTTTCCCGAGCAACAGAGCAGTTTGCTTAGCCCGCGGGGACCCGGGTAGTCTGGATGACAGATAGAGGAATTTCCAAGGTGCCAACGAGCCTCACGTGGTGTGGTCACAGGCAAGAGACCTCAGGCGGCGGCCCGGTGTGCGCCCAGGGCCTCTTGGCCCATTTTTGAGAGCTCTGCAAGTGCTGATCAGGCTCAGGGCTTGGGGAGGCTGGGAGGGTGCGACCCTGAGGGAGGGCATCCGAGAGGACCACTCGCTGTGTCCCGTGGAGGAAGACGGGCGGGCAAGAGCAAGAGATCCCCCTCGCAGCCTCCAGCCCTTTCCACTCACAGGGGAGGAGCCTTCATGATCCAAACCCCTCCCACTCGGCCCCACTTCCCAGTGCTGCCACCCTGGGAATTCAGTTTCTGACGAAACCATGGCTGCGGGCCTGAGTGTCAGGTGGGTGGTGTTACTGATAGTACTCACACATAGGTTGCATGAAGCTACTTAGTGCTTTGAAACCATCATCATCATCACCACTGCCGCCGCCACCACCACCCACGAAGCCCTTCTTCTCACTCTGGGATGCACAAAGGACTTGGTCCACGTCTTGGCCATTGAACTAATGGGCTCCAGAGCTGGATTCTAGGGTCCAAACGGTTCTGCTGAGTGCACTGAGAGACTGAGTCCCCCAGAAGGGTAGACCCCAGCTGCAGGCTTCCCAGCTAACGTGTGGCGGAAGTGGTGGGCCATGGCGCACAGTGAGAGGGGACTGGCCAGTCCCCTTGACCCTCTTGGAAATGGGAGGTCAGAGGTCAGAAGCAGGCCCACTGGGAGGGGAGGGGACAGCTCCCTGGCTCCCAGGCTTCCAGGGGGCGCACAGTGTAGGCGGGAGGCCTAGGGGATCCAGCACCCACAGGTGCCCTCCCTCTCACCAGGAGCAGCTCTGAACAGCTGGGTGTGGGACATGGCTCCGGGGGGGTGCAGCGTGGGTTGGGCCCCAGGCACAGGTCCCTGGAACGCATCTTGTTCGGGAGGCTTGGGGACACGTGAGACAGGCCAGGCCTCCGAGGGGCTCAGCAAAGGAGGCAAGGATCCAGGAGGAACCTGGGCCAGAATCCTCATGCTTCCGCCGCTGCCGCAGGAGTGGACACTCGGCCTCAGTTTCCTCATCTAGATGAGAAGATGGCATTAGAATTAGGCGACGAGGGCCGCCGAGCAGCGAGGAAAGTTGCCAGCCCAGAATCTGCCTTCAGCATATTTAAAAAGTAGGAAATCCGACATCCAAATCCCCACTGCCTCTAACCCTCCCCAAATCAGAAAGGGCAGCACCTTGAACTGCTTTCTCCAGAGGCTGAACTGGGCCACCCCGACTCCCCAGAGCTTCAGGCCCGGAGCTGTCAACCCGCCAATCTGTAGGCGGGGGAGAGGTCAGCTGGGCCACCTCCCAGCAAGGCGGTCCCGGCCGGTGGAGGCAGGAGGAGAGCGCCCTGGGAGAGGAAAATTCCGCACCCCTGGAGGTGTTTGCTCAGGGCCGCAGAGGGATGAATATTTCCTTTCATAATGTTGCTAATCATTCTCCCTCCAGGCAGGAGCACAGGTCCTCCCCACTCCTGGCAGCTGTGCTGCCCTGTGGGCTCTTAATCAATGTTACATGGTAATTAATAATAGATCCTCCTGCTCCTCCTCCATCACTGGCAGTGCCCAGCTCCCTCCACCAGGCTGGCGCCTTCCCGGGCCACAGGAATCCAACGCCTGCCACTGGAGCTGGGGACATTGCTTTCGACAGCTCCGGGGCCCGCAGGATCCGGTGCCGGACCAGGTTCCCAAGGCATCCTCAGTCTGACTCCTGGATGGCGGGCTGTGCCCCGGGAGGGAGGCGGTGGAGCTGGGGACGTCTGTCCACCCGGGGACCAGCGTGAACGACGGGTTCCCACGTGCCAGTATCCATCAGTGTTGCTCAGCAGATCTGCAGTGGGACCAGAGAACCGCCAGCGCTTCCAAGTCCCCAGGCGATGCCGATGCCACTGAGGCACACGCCATACTCTGGGCAAAGGGACTCGATGGCAGGCACAGGGAGCACGGTCACAAACAAGGCAGGCGCGGAGCCTGCCCTCCTGGGGCATCAGGTGATGGGCAGTTTCTATCATCAGACACATTGGCTTGGGCCAATCCTAGCTTGGCTGATTCTGAGCAGTCAGTGCCCTTGACGTCTTCAAGCATCAGTTTTCACACCTGTCTAATGGGGACAATTGTGTTCCCTCTCTCAGGATGGTCGGTGTGAAGATCAAAGGAGGAAGGGAATGTAAAAATATGAGCTCAGAAATGTCAGCTGCAAACATAATCTACCAATAATAATTGTGTTGTTGTTGGATCATTATCCATGGTGTAATTAGGTCCCAAGTAAGATGAGACTCATTTTTCCACTCATTCATTTGGCACATATGTCTTGGGCACAAGTCTACATGGATTTCAACATCGTTTGCACCAAAAGAAATGGATCTTACAATTCCGTTTTCTACAAACTTTTTGAGGTACCCAGGGATGAACCCAAAGTTCAACTCTACTCCCATGCACCTCTTACCGGTCAACAAGAAAATGCATAATAAAGTAGGGAGGTGCCAAGTGCTGCGAAGAGAAACCACGGAGGGCAGGAATGGGTGCTGGGCTTGGGAGCGACGGGCGGGTGCCACTCTTTTAAGCAGAGCTATCCGTCTAGGACCCTCTGATGAAGGCACTGAGGCAGAGAGCTGACTGTGGAGTTAGAGCGGGGCAGCAGGTGTCTAGAGGTAAGGGGTCCAGGCAGAGGCCAGGTGGAGACCAGGGTCTGCCTGGGGCCGGCACACACACCCCCGGAGGCCTTGTGGCCTTGCACCCTGGCAGCCTGCATCTCTTCTCTTGACTGAGGACCAACCCTGCACCTTGCACCCCAGGGCTGTGCAGCCTGATCACAAGGCTCCATGGCTTTGGGGGTTGACTGCTCCCACCATGACCTCAAACAGCTCTCTAAGCTCCACTCGACTCATTCAAAATATATGGGGACAATAGTCTTACTGCTGTGGTGGTGAGGGTGAGCAGAGCTCCCGGATGTGAAAATGTTCTCTGAGCAGGACCCTTAGTAGGCACCAGTGAACAGTGCTCACCACCAGCCCTCCTATCTTGCCGCCCATCCCCTCTCAGTGAGACCCAGGATCTGGGTGGAGGCTCAGGCCCAGAATTCTCTCTGAGCCAGGGAGTGTGTCTCATCTGCATAGATTTGCATAAGGCCTGGAATGGTGTGTACCTCTTTTTGCCTTTAGTTCCTGTGTGCGCTGACGTCACCATTTAAAAATAGGATGTTGATCTTCCCCTTTCCCACCACTCCCTTTGCCTCTTGAAAGAATTCCAAGCTATTAATCAACTATGTGGGGTTGGGAAGCTGTTTGTGTTTTGGCCTGGTGCAGAAGGGGTCACCCCCACGAGGTAGCACCTCATTACCTGCTTCCCTGGAGGGCAGACAATAGCAATGATCTCACACAGTGGAGGGTCCTGGAAGCTTTAAAAAGAAAAGTCGACTTTATTCGTTCTGCTTATAAAAGTAGAACATATAGCCAGAATGGAAAAATATAGAACAGCAGGAAAAAATCCCAACAAAGTACCCATAATAACCCTCACCAGGCAAAATCACTGTTAACATATTAGTGTGTTTTTTCCCTGGTTTATTTTTTCTCCATGCAATTTTTATATAATTGAGATCATACCATATATATAAAATGTTACAGCTGACTTTTCTTTCCTATACCGTTACAGTGACATCATTTTTCATGCCCGTGTAATATTCCACACAGGAGACAGTTTTTCCTCCTTCCTCGCTTATAGAACATTTACACTCATCCAATGTTTCTGGCTGTTGTGTACGTGGCTGGGATGAAAGTGTTTATATTCCGGATTTTTTTTTCTCCTCTTATGCTGGGTTTTTCCTCGGGATGGATGTGAGATGCCTGGGATGGGAGAGGGGAGGTATTTAAAGTTCTCAGCAGGTTTTGCTGAATCGCAGCCAGTGTCTGTGTTCAGGAAGGCGGCTCCGGGGTGCCCTGCCTGGGAGTAGGTGAGACTCCCTGCTCAGAGCGCTCCTCCGTGGCTCTGGTGCCCCCCACCCCGCACTCAGGGAACACACGGCCCCTTGCTGGGGTGGAGGCAGATGCTCCAGCAATCGGCTTCTTCACAAGCAGCAGCCCTGATGCAGAACACGGCTAAGAACCTGTCTGGGGTTCAAGGAAGCTTGCGCTGTGTTTCTGCTCTCCCGAGTCCTGGTTCTAAAAAAAAAAAAAAAAAAAAGGCTTGGATGTGCATCAGGAATGACTTTGGGTTAAACCAGCATGCATTTCTAGTTGTTTATAATCAGGTGCCAAGAGCCAGTAGCCCAGGCTTTGTGCAGCTGCCCAATGATACATTGTAGCCCTAGGCTCTGCCTTTCTCTTCTGCCATGGCTGGGAAGGGAGCCCTTGCTTTCAAAGTTCTTGTCTCATGGTCCCAAGATGGTTGCTGCACCTCCAGGAATTGAATCCTCATTCCAGGTTTAAAGGTAAGAGGCAAAGAGAAACGTGCCCTGCCCTCCAAGTCTATTCTTTACATCAGGAAGGCAGAATGTTTCCTGAAAGCTTCACCCAGAAGAGCTGGGCTGGCCTCTCATCAGGCAGAACCAAGTCACCAGGCCACTCCTGAACCAGCTGTTGGTGAAGAGCAGCAGCGTTTTCAGGATCTCTGGACCAACCAGGACTCACCCCCAGGGTCCAGGTAGGAGCCTCACCTACTTGAGATCAGCGGCTCACGAGTGCCTGGGGATAAATCAAGGTTTCTCAGGGAGGAATGGGTGGGGCAGGTGACACACTGGTTACTGGAAAGCAAGCATGGTCATCAGCACTGGGGGCTGTGATGACTTCCTCCCAGGGGCCAGCTCTCGATGGCGAGTGTCCATTCCCCTTGCCCAGTGGCTGGTCCAGGATGAGTCCATGGTCCAAGCAGGGCCAGGACATCTGGTTCATCACGAGGTGGAGAGAAGATTTTTCCTCCTCTGTGCCGCGGGGTGCGTGAGTATGATGCTCAGAATGCTGCAGCCACTTTGTTCCCACGAGGGAAGCCAGAGTTAAGATGGTACTTGGGAAGCCTGCATCCTGTATTGGAGTGCTTGGCTTTGAATCTGGCTCCGCTCCGGATTCCAGCTTCCTGCTCATGCACGCCCTGGGAGGCAGCAGGTGACGGCTCAAGTATCCGGGTCCCTGTCATCCCCAGGGGAGAGTTGCAGGCTCCTGGAATCAGCCCTGAACGCAGCCCTGGCGGTTGTGGGGGCACTTGAGGGAGTAAAGCAATAGTGGAAGACCTCGGTCTGTCTCTCTGCCTTTCAGGCTGGGGGTGAAGCCGACACACACACAGAGCAAGGGGGAGAGATGTAAGGAAGCCCCAAGAACTGGAGCCTGAGCCTCGTGACTCCCAGGCTTCTCGGCTGCAAAAGCCCCAGGTTGCATAAGCCAGGCTGACTGAGGTTTCTCCCGGAGCAGAAGAGCAGTAACCAGTAGACATGCAAACAGAAGCTTTGACACAAAGACTTGGGTGGTGAAACATTTGAAGAACTGATTTAAGCTGAGTTCGACCAATGTTTCTGGGGCTGGATGGGGCCTGACGCAGCCCCTTCTTTGAATAGGTCACGTGATGCTTCCGGAGAGGAAATCTCATGAGAATTTTCAGAGCCCTTTTCCTGGGGGACACGGGACGTCGGCGCATCTGCATCGGGGAATGCGGACCCGCCTCGGCCCACGGCCCACACATTTTAGGGCTCAAGCCAGGAGCAGACCCTGCTGTTCCTGTGGAAGGAGTTAAGGGCGAGAGCTTGGAGCCAGCCAAGGCTCTGTTTCCCCAGACGCCTCCCCGCTGGTCTCTGGGATCCCTCCTGGTGGAGGCCCGGGCCTGCCAGGCCAGACACCCCGGCCAAGTTCTCCCAAAGGCCGGAGCCTGAGCCGGGTGTGTGCTCCCAGGCTCACGCTCCCTGATTCTCTTGTGTGCTCTTTCCCGGCGGGGCTGTCACTACCAAACCTACTGGAGATTTCCCTCGTGTAGGCGCCTGACCCTCCCCTAGGGGAGGGGCGCCCTGGGGGACAGGGACCTTGCATTGGGGATCCCTGCTGTGGCCTCAGGGTGGAGACGCTTGTGTGGCTCAGCGCCTGTTTGTTAAAATGGCTGCAGCAGGCAGCGTGTGCTGGGCCCTGGGCACCAAAACCTGAACAGAATCTAGGAGGCCTGCACTGCATGGTGGGTGCCGTCTTTTTTTTTTTTTTTTTTTTTTTTTTTTTTGGACAGGTAGAGTGAACAGTGAGAGAGAGAGAGAGATAGAGAGAAAGGTCTTCCTTTTGCCGTTGGTTCACCCTCCAATGGCCGCCACGGCCAGCGCGCTGCAGCTGGCGCACCACGCTGATCCAATGGCAGGAGCCAGGTGCTTCTCCTGGTCTCCCATGGGGTGCAGGGCCCAAGCACTTGGGCCATCCTCCACTGCACTCCCGGGCCACAGCAGAGAGCTGGCCTGGAAGAGGGGCAACCGGGACAGAATTCGGCGCCCCGACCAGGACTAGAACCCGGTGTGCCGGCGCCGCAAGGCGGAGGATTAGCCTAGTGAGCCGCGGCGCCGGCCCTGATGCCGTCTTCTTCTAGCCTGGTTCCAGCATTTCCAGTCAGTCTCTCGCTTGCTCGCTCACTCGCATGCACGCGCTCTCTCTCTTTTCCTTTTTTAGTTTAATTTTATTTTTTGATTGACACACGGTATTTCCTATTTGTACGCGTTCATGGGGTACGATGTGCTGCTTTGATCCACGTATACATCAGGTGATGATGAAATCAGAGTAATTAGTATCACTTTCAACTTTCATCATCGCTTCCAGTTGATGAATCCACAGAGAGTGAGTCTTCGTTAGCTGTGTTCACCCCACTGGGCTGAACACAGAACTCCCTCCCCCTGACTGCAGTGTGCACCCATTGGCCAGTTCTCTTCTCTCTTCCTAAATCCCCCGTCTGTTTCCACGTGTTGCCACGAGGCCCTTAATGGATTTATCGGAGCTACAGTCCCCGTTTGGTAGCCCGTGCCCATTTGTTGACCCTGGGTGTTGGCACTGGGGTGACGGCTTTCGTCTCTTCAATGAATTGATTCAGACGACACGCATCGCGGCTCAGGGATGAGAGGTGACCGACCCAAGGTCCTCTGGCCCAGAATGTGGTCACGGGGCCTCCAACCCCAGGCTGACTCCAGAGCTTCTGTCCTCACCCACGCTGCTTGGCTGCCTCCAGGCAGGGACCTGGGCTCAGCCCCAAAGTAGCCACAACAGAGGATCCAGGTGGCCTGTCCCCATGGCACCTCACTACGGCCAGGTCTCCAAAGAGTGGAGCCAGCTCCGGTTCAAGGCCTTCTGCTCGGCCTCCCAGACCCCCGCCATCTGGCCCCATCCACCTCTCCCTGCATCCCTGGGGCTCGCAGCAGGGCGCCAAGCTGGTCCTTTCCTCTGCCAGCACCATTCTCTATCTTTTTCTCATTCTCCTCACTCCACCCCAAACCCCGCCCTCCTGTCTCCCATTCACCGATTCACTCATATAACATACATTTAAGCAACTTGAAGTCGGGGCGCTCCACTTACCGACTGGATGGTTCAAGTCAGCAGTCTGCCTCTCTGTGCCTCAGCTTCCTCATCTGCGAAGTGGGCGTAGTGGGAGGACCTGTCTCAGGAAGCTGACGTGAGCGAGGATTCAGCAAGTTAGACCACGTCTCGGTGTAGAGCCGGGCCTGGCTCTCAGCTGGCCCTCAGGAAGTGATCGCTGTCATTAAGAGAGACTGCAGGGACGTGGGGACACAGAGGTGGCTCAGACCCGACTCTCTTCTCTGGGATCCTTGGGGCCCGAGGACTGCCGGCATGTGAGCCCAGTCCTTGGGGTCAGGGCTAGAGATGGCGCAGGCCTGGGCAGCCCCGAGGAGGGGCCCTCCCTTTGCTGCCTCTCTGGCCACTTGGCCCATCAGAGGCACTGAGTCACTGGGCTGTGAAAAGGCCAGCTGGCCGGGCCCAGGCAGGGGGAGCCCCTCCTGCCAGCCTTCCCTCCACCCCCACCCCAGCCAGCCACGCTCACTCTCAGAGGCCAGAGAGGAGACCGCGGCCACAGCAGAACCATGGACAGGGCATGCACATGGCTGAGGCACGTCCACGGGAACACGTGTCCTCGGGCAGTCATGCACACACATGCAAAGCCCCCACACAATGATGGCTGCACGGTGCCCTTAGCGAGTGGCCGTTCCAAGTGCTTCCCATGTCTGTGTTCAGTTGTTGGAGTCTCACAACCCCCAGCCGCAGGCCCGGTCAGTCCCCAGGTTTTACTGCCAGGTATGGTGATGCTACGAGGAGTTAAGGCATTTGCTCCAGATCACACCTGGGACGTCGCCCAGAGGGCAGCCCAGGACGTCATGCTCCCCAAGCAGAGCTCTCGGGCACTGCGTGGACCATGATGCATGTGTGCAAGGATGCACACTCACCTGCACACACGTGCACACAGATCCATCCCCGGGATACACACTCTCTCCCATCCCCCAGACAGGCAGGGCTAAGGAGACCCCCAAATCCCTGGCCCACAGACATCTAACCCAAGACTCCAAGGATGGGGAGGGACCTGCCTTCCCCACCCAGCTATATGGAGCAGAGGAGACAGCAGGTGCCAAGGCCCGGGGGCTGGAATTAGTGGGTTAGGGGAACAGCAAGGAGGTCATCAGGCTGGGGGTGGGGGCAGGTGCCTGGGCAGAGAGAAGGGGGCGTGGCATGTGGGGAGGGGCAGAGTGCCAGGGAAGACTCCAGGGGAGGGACCAGATGCAGTGGGGGAGTTTGTGATGAATTGTTTTCTTGTAAGACAGATAAAACACAAAATTCACCATTCTAACAGCCCAGTGGCATCCAGCGCACTGACACGGCCGCGCCGTCGTCCCCACGGTCCATCTCCAGAACTGCTTTTCATGTTTCAGAACGGAAACACTACCCATTAAACACTGGTGCCTTCCCCTCCCACCCCAGCCCCCGGCCACACCGCCGGCTTCCTGTTGCCATGGCTGTGACTACTCACAACACCTGCCGTCAGCGCAGCCACATGGGACTCAGCTTCTGTAACGGGCTTATTTCACTCACCCACAGTGTCCCCTGGGCCGGAACGCCACTGCTGTGTAGGGCGGAATGCTATTCCGTCATACGTACATAAGGGTTCTTCAAAAAGTTCACGGAAAAATACGTGTTGTGAAAGACTGTGCGTGGGTTTCAGAAATCTGTTGCAGCAAAATCAACTTCTCTTTTCCTTCCATTTTGCCGTGACCTTTTGGAAGGACTCGCATACACCATGTTTCGCTTCACTCTTTGACCTCTTGTGGATGCTACGGCTGCTAGGAGCGTCAGGGTATAAATATTTCTTTGAGAATCTGCTTTCTGCTTTGGAGGGTGGGAGCCGGATCGGGGGTTGCTGGCTCACACATGAGCCGCAGCTTTGGGATCGGACAGAGACCTGGGAGCCCGGCGAGGTGGCCGTGGCACTATCGCCCACCTGAGCACCCGCCCTGCCATCACCTCTTTCCTGACTCAGCCTTTAAACTCTTTATTTATTTGAAAGGCAAACAGGGAGATCGCCCATGTGCTGGTCCACTCTCCAAAGGCCCACAACGGTCAGGGGTGGCCCAGGTTGAAGCCAGGAGCTGGAAACTCAGTCCCGGTCTCTCACCTGCATGGCAGGGACTCAGGTACACCAGAGCCACCCCCTGCTGCTTCCCAGGGCCTGCCCCAGCAAGAAGTGGATTTGGGGGCGGAGCCAGAGCTGAAGCCCTGGCACTCCCACAGGAGACGCGGGGGTCCCAGGTGGTATGTTTCACCAGCTGCACCAAACCCACCCCTGCTTTCCTCCTTTCTTCAGGCTTACTCAGCCCCCAGGGTCAGGCAGTACCAGGCGCCCCACCCTGTTTGGATGGACAAGGACCCCGAGGCTAGAGGCGGGAGGGTGTCTCCACCATGGCCACCGGCCACAGCGCTGGTGGACCCTTCAGGACGGGCCTGCCTGGGGCCTGGGTTGGGGCTCGGCTATGCACCACAAGCCTTCCTCCTGTTCCTGCTCCTGCCAGGCAGGGCTGGGCAGCCAGGGAGGGCGCACAGCCAGAGCAGGCCCTGCCCATCTGTGCCAAGACGCTACCGAGCCTGAAACTCCACCCAGGGCATCCCCGGGCCCTGGAAAGCCCCGGGGAGGCAGTGCCCTCATCAACCGCTGACTGGCCAGGAACCCCATTCTGCTCACCTGCTGACAGGGCACGCTTCCCTGGCTGATCTGCACTGTGGGGCCAGGGCTGTCTCAAGCAGGGTTCAGGGCCTCGAGCCCAGGTGTGGCTGGTGGTGCACCCCCTTTCTGGGCCCCTGGCCCTGGAACACATCCTGAAGAGGGCATGGGAATTCCAATGCAGCCCAGGAATCCCGTGGGGGGCCAGGGTCTGTCCCGGGGCAAGGGTGTAGTCACAGGACCCTCCCTCCTTGGAGACATCTCCTCCACCCCCTTTTTAAGGTATTCATTCATTTCTTTGGTTTATTTGAAAGGCAGAGAGAAAGAGGTCTTCCATTTGCTGATCCAGTCTCCACTGGCCCACAGCAGCCGAGGCTGGGCCAGGTTGAAGCCGGGAGCTCAGAACTCCCCCCGGGGCTCGCACGTGGGGGGCAAGGTTCGAGCACTTCAGCCATCACCTGCTGTCTTCCAGGGTGCTCATTAGCAGGAAGCTGGAATGAGAAGCAGCACAAAGACTTGAATCCAGGCACCCCATAGCGGGTGTGCGCACCCCGAGCGGTGGTGTCTTAACTGCTGCCTCCCCCCTCCATCGTCACTTTTATGGCTGATGACGTTCTGTGGGATAAAAGTATGAGATTCTACCTCCCTGGCCAGGGCGCCCTGCACTGGTGGGAGCTAGGCCTGATCTGTAGCCCTCGCCCTCGCTGTGGGATCTCCTTGCTTCTGCAGACACCCAGGTGGTCTTCCCTGACCAAGTGGGCCCTCCTTCCTCCCCTCTCCCTCCCCCGCTCCCCTACAGGACCTGACCCCCATCCACCCTAGCTTACTTTACCTGAGCCTCATGAACCTCCTGCTGGCTGGCTTCCCATGCGCCAGGCATGCTCCTGCCTCAGGGCCTTTGCATACACTGCCTTCTCTGCCTGGAACTCTCTGTTGCCAGATTTCACTCCCACACCTCCTTCAGATTTTTCTCAAATATTGCTTTCTGCTGAGGGTTTTCTTGACTCCTGTTTTAAACTGCAAGCCATCTGGTGCCCCTCGCCCCCAGCCCCGCCCCCCCCAGCTTTGATTTTCTCTGTTGCACCTGTCAGCACTCATCACAAACACACACTCATTCATCTCTCTCCCCTCTGGGTTGCAGGTTCTGCAAGGGCAGAGATTTCCGTTGGCTTTGCTTCTGTCTCCCCAGGGTCCAGTGCAGTGCAGGGGATCAGTAAAAACGCTCTGAATGCACAAAGTCAAGGGCCAGCCCCCGACTGCCACCACCCTGGCCCTGCCCGTGGTCGTCCCTCCCCTGGAGGCTGCTACAGCCCCTGCCTGTATCCAGTCAGCTTCCTGGATTTTAATATATAAGCTTTTTTTTTTTTTTTTTCCCGACAGGCAGAGTTAGACAGTGAGAGAGAGAGAGAAACAGAGAGAAAGGTCTTCCTTTTCTGTTGGTTCACCCCCAAATGGCTGCTAAGGCCGGTGTGCTGTACTGATCCGAAGCCAAGAGCCAGGTGCTTCCCCTGGTCTCCCATGCGGGTGCAGGGCCCAAGCACTTGGGCCATCCTCCACTGCACTCCTGGGCCACAGCAGAGAGCTGGACTGGAAGAGGAGCAACTGGGACAGACCCGGCGCCCCAACCAGGTCTAGAACCCGGAGTGCCGGCTCCGCAGGTGGAGGATTAGCCAAGTGAGCCGTGGGGCTGGCTATTATGTAAGCTTATTAAAATGTAATCAGGGCTGGCGCTGTGGCGTAGCAGGTAAAGCTGCCACCTGCAAGAGCCGGCATTCCATATGGACACTGGTTTAAGTCCCCACTGCTCCTCTTCTGATCCAGCTCCCTGCTAATGGCCTGGGAAAGCAGCAAAAGATGGCCCAAGTGCCTGGGCCCCTGCACTCACATGGGAGACCTGGATAAAGCTCCTGGCTTCAGCCTGGCCTAGTCCCGGCCATTGCAGCCATTTGGGGGGTGAACCAGCGGATGGAAGATCTTTCTCTCTCTTTCTCTCTCTCCCTCTCCCTCTCTCTCTCTCTCCCTCTCTCTCTGTAACTCTTTCAAATAAATAAATGAATCTTTAAAAAATAAAATAAAAAAGGATTCTGACAAGGTCATGCCCTGATGAAAACCTTCTAGTGTGGAACGAAACCCACAGCCTGCACCTGGGCCTGCATGGCCCTGCTGACCCAGCCTCCTGCCACCTTGCAACTCATTGCCTGTCCCCTCCCTCTGTCGCAGCCACACTGGCCTCTGAGTGCTCCTCCGATGTCTGACCTCAGGACCTTTGCAACTTCTGTTCCTGCAGGCTAATGCTCTTCTCCACATCCTTCCCTGGCCAGTTCCATCACACTCTTCTGTCTCAGGCTAATGTCACTTCCTCCGAGAAGCCTCCCCTGACCACCCCAGTTCAGGCCACTCTCACTTTGTTTTACTGTCTCCAGGGCAAGTCTCACCACCAAAACTTGTCCGTTTGTGTGTTCATTGTCTCCCAACTTGACAGTGAGCTTCCTAAGGGTAGGTCCTTGCTGGCCCACATTTTGCAGCTCAGCCCATAGTAGGTGCTCAATAAACCTTGACGGAGCGTGTGGACAAAGGTGCCTGAGCCTGCTCAGGCGTTTCCCTGTCATTCCTCCCTGTCCTCAGAGTCTGGGAGGGGCCCGGCCATGTGCCCAGGTCACACAGCAGCTGAGCACAGGTCTCTGGCCATCCCAGTGTCCTCTGCCTGTGTCCCTGCGTGTGTGTGTCTCTGAGTACCTGCACATCCCTTAGGACTTGCGTGTGTGTGTGTGTGTCTGTGTGTGCTCACATCTCCCCCCATGGCTGCTGTGTGCAGATCTCTGTTCCTCTGTGTGTGTGTGTATGTTCTCTGCCCCTCTGTCTCTGAGCGTTCCTGACCATGCACGTCCACAGTCCAGCTCTGCTGGCTCCCTGAGCCCCCACTTGGAAGCCCACCCCACTTCCCTATGTGTCCCCGACCCCTCCGGGGCTCTACCAGCCCCTTCGTCTCCCAGCTGGGCACCTGGGGAGCTGGAGCCGAGGGGAGGGGAGGCAGGCTGGCTCCATCCCTAGGGCACAGGCCCTAACCCTTGCCCCAACCCCCTCCTTTGGCCCCAAGATTGGCTCCTGACTTAAAATTGCCAATCCCAGATCAAGCTGCTGGGAGCCCGCATTGGACTGGTTCCCATGGCAACGTGGAAGCCAGGCCTGTGCTCATAAAACAGGTCATAAAGCAGAGGGAGGGAGGAGGAGCGGGCTGCGGGCAGCTTCCCTTGCCAGCGCTGCTTCCCTGGGAGACCCCACGATCCCCCGGTGGCGGCCAGGCCCAGGCTGGGCCTCCACCTGCTGCATGCGCAGCCACAGAGAGCCTTCCTTCCCCGTGCACAGGGTGGTAATGGCCCCACAGCTCTGCGTCCAGGCACGCTGTTGCCGAGGTCCAGGAATGCCCCGGGTGAAAGGCTGCTGCAGGACCCAAGTCCCAGGTCAAGCCCTCAGAGCCTCAGTTTTCCCAGCTCTTAGTAAGAGCTAAGAGGAAGGGTGTGGTGAGGCTTGAGAGAGCACTGGGTTCAAATCCAGCTTCACCTGCAAGCTGTGTGACCTTGGGCAAGTCGTGAAGTCTCTGAGCCAATCTGCTCACCCCTGACTTGGAGACCACAATGTTGGAGTTGTCAAAACACACCCTGTGGCGCCGGGTCCGGAGACCAGCTGTGGTGATTGGCAGTGACGGGAGCTATCGGTGAGATAGGGTGGGGGCTCCACGCCACGGGCTCCCCTAAAGGGGTCCATTTCCCCTCGCACGTCAGTCAGACCCATTTCTCAGATGAGGACGCTGAGGCACAAGAGGCTGACTTGCTCCAAGTCACGAGCAGAGTCCAGGCGCTCTCAGCCAGGCCCCAGCATGGCCTCTCGCCACTCAGGTCTCCTCGTGGCCCTCCCCACACACTCAGTGAACACGCTGGAAGCAGGCCACCCACAGCTGAGCCCCAGGACCTCCGCAGTGTGGGTGTGGGAAGGTGAGCTGTGAGGAACATGGAGACTGCCCCTAATGCTCAGATGGAGAAGTCGAGGCCCAGAGGGGTCTGGCCATCACGCAAGAAGACGGTAGCTGCTAGGATTCAAATCCAGGTCCCATTTGCTTGAAGCACTTATACTCCCAGTAAGCCAAGCTGGGCCCACACACCCAGAGCCTTGGCACAAGAACAGCAGTGTGGAACAGTGTGGAACAGCGAGTCCAGGGCTACCAGGGCCTGGTGCGTGTCAGGTACTGTGCCATGCCCTGCACACGCACCTCACGCATGCCCTGAAGTGGCCTTGAATGGAAGCAGGCATCAGTGCACAGCACTAGGGTCACCCCATTCTATCTTATTGTTTTATTTCAGTTTTTATGATTTATTATTTATCTGAAAGGCAGAGTGAAAGAGAAGGAAAGGCAGAAAAAAAGAGAGAGATCTTCCATTTGCTGGTTCACTCCCCAAATGGTTGCAATGGCTGGGGCTGGGCCACGTTGAAGCCAGGAGCCTGGAACTCCATCAGGGCTCCCACATGGGTGCAGGGGCCCAAGCACTGGGGCCATCTTTCTCTGCTTCCCCAGGTGCATTAGCAGCAGCTGGATCAGAAGTGCAGTAGTTGGGACTCGAACCGGTGCTCCCATACGAGATGCCTGTACCAAGGCAGTGGCTTAACCAGCTGTGTCACAGCCCTGGCCCCTAGGCCCATTTTAGAGATGAGAAAATTGGGAATGAAGAGTGGAGATGAGCGCCCACACCTGTTGGTCCCAGAGTGGCACGTGGGATCCCCGTCCTAATCTTGGGGTCCACCTGTGAGGTGCCCATGGGGTGGCCACATCCAGGGCCCTGGGGCCAAGGGACTGACTGTAGGGGGGATGCTCTGAGTTTACACTTATCCTTTCATCCATTCAATGTGTGTGTGTGTCGCCTGCTCCGTGCCTGGCAAGCCCCAGGTGTGGAGATGAACACACAGTGACTGAAGCAGGTAGCCCCCGGCCTCGCCCCCCACCCAGTACTCAGGTGTGGAGAGGTGAGAACAAGCAGGGGAGCCATGGAGGTGTGTAGGTGGGGTCAGGGGTAGGGCCAGAGAAGGCTTCCCGGAGGAGGTGATGTGGGAGGCGAGTCTGAAGGAGGTAGG